ATTTCCCATGCTTAGCGCAATCTCTGGTTCGCACATATCCATCATCCTTCTAATAGCAAATCCCTTTAGGATCAAACACATCTGTTTAGACATAGCAGCTAGGCATTAGCTCAACCCAACTTTGTCCTTGCCACTCAGCAGGACTGTTGTCACCACACCGCTCGTGGCAGAGCCTGCTATGGTCACAGTCGCTTCTCAAAGTCATCACATGAATAGATTGGTGTTTGAGACACATTTGATTGGTTTTACAGACATAAGTATCATACAGATAAATTCACATAGAGATGTGAGAACAGATTAAGATGAGTCATGAGATGGAGGCAAGCGCTACAAATACAAGTGAACAGTGAAATTGAAGTGCTTTTTTTTCTCTTTTTCTGCCAGTTTTTGAACATGAAACAGAGGACATGGTCAGTCCATCTTTTCTTTACCTTTACCTCCCTTGTGTCTCTGTCTGTTTGTGGCCTTGGTTTTTTTGTGGGGCTGACTGTGATATTGAATGTAGAGAATCTGGAACCTCGCCAGGGAAATGGTGGGGAACACTCAGGACGAATCGAACAAGATAACAGAAAAAAATGGTGTATTTGTAGAACATAATATGGATGAGCAGATAATGGTTGGTTTGAGATCTGAGTCTGCTTCTATGTGATGTAGAGCAGTGGAATATAAGGGTACTCTTGTAAGACATGCATATCTTTGAGTTCTCTTCCTGGAACCCAGACATCAGCTTCAGGACCATAGTCCCACCAGCAAACGAGGTACTGGTGTCCATATCCATGTGTTCTCTTGTCAAGGATGATTTTGATCTCCCACTCTTCGCTTCCCATTGGTGTCATGAAAGGCTTAGGTGATTGGCATTCTTTTGAAGGGTAGAGCTCTATGTTGTTTGGTATATGCTGTTTCAGTTCTGAAACATGAAAAGTGGGGTATACATTAGTATGGTCAGGCAAATCAAGAGTGTAAGTAGATGACTCAGGGTTCACAGATACTATTGTATAGGAACCATCGAACCATGCCATAAACTTAGCCACTCACTTGTTGCTTCCATTCAGATATTCATGTCTTCAGTGGGCCGTCAACAGATATACCATGTCCCCGATTTTGAAATGAGGTTCTTTGTTTCTATGTGCATTAGCTGAGTTAGCTTGACTGATCCTTGATGCCAATAGAGCATCGTGCGCATCTGTAATGTCAGTCTTTAGTGACATGATTGCTTCCAGAGCATTTGCAACGTCTGTAGGGAAGTCCTCTCACACCTGACATACACCCTCAGTTGTAAGCGGAGGTACTCAATGTGGGTTTCTTCCAAGGTGCAGGTGGAAAGGAGTGTAGTTCATTGAAGTATTTATTGTCGACATCAGATTGAATCTGGCATATGGCAGTGCATTCACCCAGCCCGACTGTCAGCGATCCACGAAATATTGTAGAGCCTGGTCTATGGTCTTGTTAGTACGTTCACTTGTGCTGTCAGTCTGCGGATGGTAGGCAGTTGACATCTTCAACTTTACCCCTATGAGGCGATGTAATGCCTTCCAAAATTTGCTTGTGAATATCTTGTCGCAGTCGGAGATGATGCTCAAAGGCAGGCTGTTTTTGCAGTACCAGCTGTTGAAGAAGAGGTTAGTGATCTCATTGGCATTCATGTTCATACAACATGGGAGCAGTCATATGTCGGCTCACGGACGATCTGTGATCATCATGATCCTGTCAAATCCCTGTTCTGTTGGCAGGGGACCTATGAAGTCTATTGCGATTGAGTCACCCCTCTTGTCTGGTACTGGTAGAGGGTGTAAGGGTCCAGCAGGCTTTATTGTTCGACTCTTGTTTCGCGCACACTCCAAACACACTGGTATGTAAGATTATTCTAAGTTGTGCCTCATATTAGGCCAGTAGTATGATTCACATATTGAGGCATAGGATTTGTCCAATCTGAAATGTCCCAGTTGGTCATGCACTAATTGAAATATTGTTTTGCAAAGGTACACCACACAAGGTATTACCAGTCTGTTGTTGAGGTAGAGCAGCCCATCACAACATAGTAGTCACGGCAGGGAGTCCAGTAGGTTTGTCAGTTTGATACACCAAGGATCTACCTTGTAGCCAGCTTTTATGTTGTTGAGTAGCGATATGTCCAGAGTCATGGACAGTACAAGCACGATGGGCTTGATGTTCTTGTCAATTTTGGTGGGCATATTTGCTGTCTTCCAAACATATGTTGGCATGTCGTCCGCTTCCAGAGGAAGGTGTGATAGCGTGTCTGCCACAGAGTTGTCCTCTCCTCAGATATACTGGATGGTGAAGTCGTATTGGCCAAAAAACTCCTGCCAGCAGGCTTGTTGTCACAACAACTCTCTCTGAGTCATAAAGTTCTCTAGCATCCTGTGGTCAGTGTAGACCATAAAAGGTGTTCCGAGAAGTTCCACACACCATTTCTTCAGTGTGTGCACTACGGCTCACAGTTCCTTCCTGTGAACAGGGTAATTGAGTTGAGCTTCCTGTAGTTGCATTGAGTCAAATGCAATGGGTCTTGCTGTCTCAGGTGTAGTGCCAAAGCTCAACATTGTGCCTGTTCACCAGTCGCTGGCATTGCAGGTGACAAATATTTTGTTCTCGCCAATATCATCATGATCAATAGTGGTCAGACAGTCGCATCTGACCACAAGGCGTTTAACTGAGTCAAAAGCTTCTTGATGTTCATTGGACCAGCCGGGCCAACTAAGCTCACATGCTTTCATAGTTAGTGGTGTCAACAGTCAAGTGAAGTCCACGAGATGCGGTAGAAATTGGTCTAGGTACCTTACCAGTCCAAGGAACATGCATACATCACTTGTGCATTTCAGTGTGGGCCAGTCTAGAATGTGTTTCACTTTTGCCTTGATACCCAAAGCGGAAATGTGATGTCCCAAGAAGTCGACTTCATTGCAGAAGAGCGCAGTCTTCTTTGGTGAACAGAATAAGCTGGCTTTCAATAGCACCTCTAGAACAAGCTTGATGTTGTGTATGTGCTCCGCTACAGTCTGCAACCATATGATTATGTCGTCCAAGTAAGCATGACAAATTTTTCCTATCAGTCCTCGAAGGGTGATGAACATTCTCTGCTGGTGCATGGCCGGAGCATTCCTACCACCTTGCAGCATAATGGTCCATTCATGTAGTCCTCTAGGCATATCGATTGCTGTATATTTTATATCATCAGGGTGTACACGTGTCTGAAAAAAAGAGTTTGTCATGTCAATTTTACTGAATATTTTTTCCTTTGCACAGTCACGTAGAATTTCATCAATGTGTGGTAGGGGGTGATTGTCAAGTATGGTGTTCACATTCAGAGCTTGGTAATTGTTAACCCAGCGTGGTAGAGCAGTTGGATCCTTCTTGGGTATGAGGAATGCTGGCGATACAAATGAGCTTGAGGACGGTCATAGATGTCCTGATGTGATATGTTGATTCAGTAGGGCATCCCAAGCCTCCCTGTATTTCCTTGGCGTGTTATACCTTCTGCATTGGATTACCTTGTTTGGGTCCTTTAAGGCAATATGATGCACGATATCGGTTGGAAGGTTGTCGATGTGTGGTATGTCTTCAGGGAATCTATCTGCACATTTGTGACACATCTCTTTATCTAGTTGTTCAAGATGTTCTTTATTGTTCTTGATGAAGGCCAAGGTGTTGATGTGTTCATGAAGTACAGTAGCGATGTTTTTAGTTTTGGTCAACGTGTGTTTTTCATGTTCCTTGTATTGGCCGTTCAGTACACTCTTCAGCTCCTTCATAATGTCCTTTCATAGTTGAAGCACTTGTTGTTGTGATGGAGCTGGTGCCTTCATATGTGTATTCCTTGTTGGTGGATTCAAAAGGTCATATTCCAAGTTCTTGGTGATACATGTTCAAGTCTCATGATCTATAACAAGGCAATTATGTGATAAGAAGGGTCCTCCAAGGAGGAGCAGAACAGCAAGTTTTGGCGCGATAATAGCATGTATGGTGCATGAGGTCCATTCACAATTAATGGTAGAAGGGGATAATAGAATGTAGTCAGAGCAAGAAAAAACAGAATCACAATGTGAAAGAGAAGTAGAAGAGGTATTGGTGAAGGCAGAGTTTGCCTCTATATTGATGTGAAGCTTTTGCCTATGCAGGCCAAGATGTTTAACAATGTCTTCATTAATCAGAAGTAGATGCGACCCGTAATCAATCAATGCATCGACATGCTCGAAAGAATTGCAAAGGGGCCCTGTCAAGAGACAGGGCCAAATAAGGTGGCTAGTTTTAAATGGGGCGACATACATGTCATCCTCAGAGTCAGATCCCTCTTCAATTACTGTCAATGGCATGATGGCGCCTACAGGCCCAACAGTGGCTACACTCCTTGATTTTGGTCTGGCTGTGAGAGTGTCCAATTCAGTGAGTGTCTTGTGGGCTGAGGCATCTGGTGCGCCATCGGTACAGTCTTTTGATTGGTGCGAAACATAAAACTTGCAATATTTGAAGCAGCCTCTGTGCTTCATTAGTAGCATGTGTTCTGTTTCTGTGAGAGATCCTAAATGTGAGGTGGAGGAGGAGGAGGGGTTATAAGTCTTCAATGATGAAGACTTGTTGTTTGAGAACATGTTACATTTGGAAGTTTTGTATATATCTTCGGTGATTCTTTTATGTGACGCGAGGTCCTCTAGATGTTTGTCATCCAGGTGCTTGACCTCTTTGATCCACGTCTTGAGGGTTAAGTTGTCAGCAAGATTAGCTCTGAGTACGAGGATTGTTAACTCTTCACACATGTTCACTTCGAGTTGGTTGTATAGTTGAGTGTTGGTGAGGTGCACCATATTACCATATAGTAGAGTGTTCTGGTTTTGCAATTCTAAAGCCCACTCATAGAACGAGTGTGTGCCTTGTTGCAAACCTAGGACTTTCCTATGTAGTTTGGTGTCCCAGTGACTCTCTAACCAAGTATCTTTGAGTGCTGTCATATATTCTTCGAATGTTCCTGCATCTAACACGACATGTTATGCAAGGTACCAGATATGTAGGTGTGCGTCCAATATGCCAAATGCTACCATTTTGACTTGGTCTGTAGCTGCAATTGTTTTGTGCATGAAGTATGTTGTGCAGGCATTGTCCCAGTCATGAGCTACCTCAGGCATCAGCTTGCCCACCAATAGTTTTGGCAGTTTGCTGGGAGCAGCCTGTTCCACTCTCGCAGATTTGGTCATCTTGTAATTGTGGGAGTAGAGTATATGTGTGTTATTGGTGTCAGAATCTGAAGAGGAGGAGTTGTGATATGTGTTTGTAGGTGTGGTATGTGTGGTGGGTGTGTCGTCTGGTATGGACAAAAGAGGAGATGAAGGTGGTTCTGGAGGATACTGTTGTGTTGGGGTCTGTTGTTTCTGGTTCTTTGCATGCTGTCGCATAGTCAGCAGTTCAGAGACAGTGGGTTCCCTCCACATGGAAGGCAGTTTGACAGGTCAGTTATCGGGTGAGAGGCCCAGCGGTTTTGAAAGGGATGAAACAATCAACCAGTTTTGTCGATGTTAAAAAAAAAGTGGAACCTCACCAGGGAAATGGCAGGGAACAGTCAGGATGAATCGAACATGATAACAGAACAAAATGGTGTATTTGTAGAACATAACATGGATGAGCAGATAATGGTTGGTTCGAGACCCAATGTAGGTTTACAACTCAGTGTGGTGCTGTATGCTCCAAACTGATGTAGAAACAACAATACTGTGAGGAACAAATGAAGCTCCTGACTGTATCTATAAATGTTTGTAAGGTGGCGCGTTGCCTAGTCTGCATTACTTGAGGAGACAAGTGCGTTCGACCCTAAGGGGGAAGCGAGTGCAGCAAAGATCTAGAGGTACACGCTGAAGTGAAGCACAAGAAAGTGTGCAGGTGCGCGCAAGGCACGGGAACACGCGCGTGTGCACGTGTGGAAATGATAGAGAGACTAAGCTTAAGTGATAATATAATGCAAGATAAATGAAGAGAGATGCGAAGTGTAGAGGAATAGATTTCTACTGCGACTTTCTAGGTAGTAAGTGGTAGGTAAAGTGAGAGGTGGTGTTCAGTGGTAAAAAAAGTTTTTGGAGTAGTATGTACTGCTGGCGCTTATATAGCGCGCCTAAGCGCTGTAATGCGGAGCCGAAGCGCTACCGAGTAGGTATGTAGAGATATATATAAGTAAGGGTCCATGATAAAAATAAGGTGGAATAATATACAATGAGAGAAACAGAAATATACGCACTAGAGAACTTGGAGGACAGTGGATGCATGCATCTGGATGGCTGGCACTATAGGGCACTCAAGCGTGGGAAAGCGCATGCGCATATACATCACGAAGCGCGCATTGCGCAGGAAAGCTGCGCCTCATATAGGGATAGCTGCGGACTGCACACAGAGTGGTGCTGCAAGTTGGTGCTATATACTCCTTGGTGAAAACTGCCATATCACACCATGAGAGGCATGAGTCTCTACACCGAGATCTTTATGTTGTAGGTCATCCAACACCTAGTCTGCTATACTTGCAGAACAGGTGCGTTCGACCCTAAAGGGGAAGCTAGTGCAGCAAAGGTCTAGAAATGAGCGCAGAAGGTGTCGCTTAGTGGCCAATGTGAAGCGCAGGAAAGTGGTGGGTGCGTGCGCTGACCTGCACCAAACTGGTTCAGTGCATGGACGACTGATACTCTTCCATGAGTCCTGTACCCCAGAATTTACTATGAAACCATTTTTCCCTTTGAACTGAAGTCATACTGAGGCTAGGGAATATTTTTCGTCTTTTTCTTCATTTTTCAAGTTTGTACATGAGTGGACTGAATATTTTTGTACATTTAATTCTGCAATGAGTTTTGCTTAGTCAGTCATGAGGATGACTCAGAAAGATTCTCACACATATCAGGTGACTATGAAAAATATGTTTGCATGAGGTTACCCTGTGGGAAAGCTTACAAATCCTTAAATATGTGTCTTATGTCATTATGCTACCAATCAATTTATCAGCCACAGACTGCACAAACATATGCACACACTATGTAATCATTGCTCACTCTTGACTAGCTGAGTCATCAAAGGTCACCTGACTCATGGGCTATACACAGCTCTTGCTGACTCATCATTATACCAACAAGAGTTATGAATATTTACCTTTTGACTCAAAGATATTGTGTGACTTGGTACTATCACAGTCAAGTTACAACTTTAAGTACGAGAAACTAATAGTACAGCCACCAATTTGTCTATATAAGGAGCTGTTTCTTGCCCAATAAATACATGCCCAAGTGCCACTTTTACCCTCTCAGAATAAAATTGTGAATGAAGTGTGAATCAGCATTCAGCAAGTGTAGTTTAAGGTTGGAGCTCACCGTGCTCAACAACCAGCACAACATATTTGAGCTCACTGTGTTGAACATCTAGCACATACCTTGAGCTCACTGTGTCTGATGACTAGCAAGACTAGTTTTCTTTTGTCTTTCGTTTCTTTTGATTTTTTTTCTGTTATTTCTCTGTTTTTTTTCTCTCTGTGTCTGTGCCTGTGTCTCTCTCTGAGATTGTCTCTGAGATTGTTTTTCTTTTTATCTGTCTCTCTGGAAACATGTCTGAGATTCGTGACTGTGGAACTAACATCTCTGTTTCGCTGTTTCATTCTCTCTGTCTCTCAAAGTGTGTGTGTGGTGTGTTGGTGACTGTGTGTGCTGACCATCTCTGTGATCGCTGTCTCTGTGTGTTGTGATCATTGTTGCTAACAGTCTCCATGATTGTGATTGTATTTGCACTTCTGTTGTAGCAGGTCTGACTGTGTTGTTGTTTGTTAGAGTGACTGTGTTTCTTGATATTTTGCTGTTGTGTTGTTGTTGTTGTTATCAACCACTAACCAATTGGGTTCTGTTTCTGTTATCATTGTGTTTCATAGCCATTCTGTTGGATTGACTGTTGACTGCTTGATTGACTGCTAACTTTTGTGCAGAGCTATACATTGCTGACTGTACCTTGGGAGCAAAGACAAGTCACCCACAAACAACCACATTATCAGTCATTGGTATTTGTCTGAATCACTGACTGTGGAGATATTTGGTTTTATAGGTGTTTATCTATAGATCATCTATGTAAGAAGACAGCATGGGAATGAAGTGGCGGGTGCGTGCGCAGGAATGAGGTGGCGGCCAATAGCTGAAGGCACAGGAAAATGCGGCTGTGAAGTGGCTGCAGCACAAGTGGTTTGGGTGATGATAGAGATGATAGATAATAGAAATAGATGTAAAGCGGAATGGTAATGGACACGGTGTGGGTGGTAAATGGATACAGATTGCCAATAGCTACCAACTGTAGGCTAAAGGGAGTTGCTACTGGAACATCTGGAAAACAAGCTACTGAATAATATGTACTGCTACCACTTAAGTATTGCACTAAGTGCTGTCATGTGAGGCCAAGCTGACGTACTACCAAGTAAGGTATGTAAAGCTATATGTAAATAAGGATCTATGATGAAATAAAGGTGGTGTGATGCGGAAATGGTCTGATATGTAAATATAATCATAGAATAATGTACCATTGGATTGGTTGGACATGGACAGATGGTGCAAAATGTCGGCCAATAAAGCACAGCTAACTGTGGCTGTGTGCACGCATGGGAACACTGCGGCCATTGCAGTGTAGGGATTCATTTCTGGCTGGGCTGGTAGAGACTGTTTTTACCTTACCTTATGTTGGCACTTTGTAGCTTACATAAGCAAGTTATCTTGTCACCAGTTACTAGTATGAGTCAGAGTACTCAGCAAGTTTTCATGATATTTCCTCTCCTCTGAGCCTTGAGCCTGGTCCAGAAACCCTTTAGGGTCAAATAGTAGCTAGGTTCTGCAAGACCCAACATTGTTCAGACTCACTATCTGAATTGTTGTACCTTCAGCAGGAAAGTAGCGGCCAATGCGCGTGGGTCACGGGAAAGCTGTGCTTCACATAGTAAAGCAATAGGATGCTGAGGGATACTGCACAAATAGCCTCTACAAGGCTACAAGGACTTCCAGTCCTATACCAAGTCTGCTTCTACATGACGTAGAGTGGCGGAATATAAGGGGAAGAGTCATGTGATATGATATATGGTAAGCAATGATGTGATGTGGCTGTTTGTAGTAAGCAATGAGCTTACAGAATCCTGCAATGGCCGATGTAGGTTTACAACTCAGAGTGGTGCTATAGGCTCCAAACTGATATCTTTATGTTGTAGGTTGTCCAACACCTAATCTACTATACTTGCAGAACAAGTGTGTTCGACCCTAAAGGGGAAGCTAGTGCAGCAAAGGTCTAGAAATGAGAACAGATGGTGCTGTTTAGTGGCTGATGCAAAGTGTGGGAAAAGCGGCAGGTGTGCACACAGGAACGAAGCAGTGGCCGATAGCTGAAGGTACAGGAAAATGCAGCTGCAGCACAGGTGATTTGGATGATGATAGTGATGATAGATAACAGAAATAGACGCAAAACAGATTGGTAATGGACACAGTGCGGGCAGTAAACAGATACTGATTGACAATAGCTACCAACTGTAGGCTAATGGGAGTTGCTACTGGAATGTCCGGAAAACAAGCTACTGAAAGATATGTACTGCTAGTGTTTAAGTATTGCACTAAGCGCTGTCATGCAGAACCGATGTAGAGACTCATGCCTCTTATGGTGTGGTGTGGCAGTTTTCACCAAGGAGTATACAGCACGAACTTGTAGCATCACTCTGTGTGCTACCCACAGCTATCTCTATATGAGGCGCAACTTTCCCGCGCCATGCGCGCACTCTTCCCACGCTTCACGATGTAAATGCGCGCGCACTTTCCCACGCTTGAGCGCCCTATAGCGCCAGCCATCCAGAATGCATCCATCCACTGTCCACCAAGCTCTCTAGTGCATATATTTCTGTTTCCCTTATTTGCATATTGTTCCACCTTATTTTTATCATGGACCCTTACTTATATATATCTTTACATACCTTACTCGGTAGTGCTTCAGCTCCGCATGACAGCGCTTAGGTACCATATATAAGCGCCAGCAGTACATACCATGAGACACAACTGACTTTACCCAACTTGACTTCCTACTTAACTTACACCCACTATCTACCTAGCAGAACATAGTAGAAATCTATTTGTCTACACTTTGCATCTCTCTTCTCTTGTCTTACATCATATCATCATTTAAGCAAACTTACTCTTACTCTTACTCTTACTCATCTCCACATACACGTGCGCACTTTCCTGCACTTTGCACAGCACACATGCGTGTTCCCGCACCTTCGTGCCTTGCATGCACCTGTGCTTTCTCACACTTCACATTGGCTGAACAGTAGCACCTTCAGTGCATATCACTAGATCCTTGCTGCACTTGCTTCCCCTTTAGGGTTGAACACACTTGTCTTCTCAAGTATAGCAGACTAGGTAACGCATGACCTTACAACATTTATAGATACAGTCAGGAGCCTCGTTCGTGCCTTGCTGTATTGTTGTTTCTACACTGAGCCAATGCACTACTGAGTTAGGTATGTAAGACTATATGTAAACAAGGGTCTATGATGAAATAAAGGTGATGCAATGTGGAAATGGTCTGATATGTAAACATAATCATGGAATAATGTACCATTGGGTTGGTTGGACATGGACAGATGATGCGAAATGTTGGCCGATGAAGTGCAAGAAAGTGTGGCTAAGTGTAGCTGTGTGGGCAGGTGGGAACACTGCAGCCATCACAGGAAAGTAGCAGCCAATGCATGTGGCTCACAGGAAAGCTGCACTTCATATAGTAAAGCAATAGAATGCTGAGGGATACTGCAAAAATAGCCTTTACGAGGCTACAAGGACTTCCAGTCCTACACTGAATCATCTTTTGACATGTCAATGGAGGTCATTGAGAAGATGGGATAAATCATTCTTCAAGAGCCATCAAACTTCGCATTCATGAATGCAAGCCAATCACGGCCAAGCTCAATATCATATCCATCCAGATAAATGGGGTGAAATGTCTGTTGAGAATTATACCAACCATTGACAGTAGGAATGCGCACCAGACCAGAAGTCAACTCCACAGCAACTCCATCATGATTGATGACAGAGCGCGGCACATTGAAATTGTGCAGAAAAGACGATGAGATGGTGGAATCAGAACTCGCACCATTGACACAAATAAGAGCAGGAACATCTGCAAAAGATCCAAGGACTTTGTAATAAATAGAAAACATAGTAGTTGACAGTTACAACAGTAAAGAAGATCAACATATGCAGACACAACACACATTAGTCTCTCATGACCATGTGAACAAAATGCCATTTAAAACAGGAATGCATTTTTACCCAAAAATTTGGCCAATGAGGTCCTCATGGCCATAGCACAGAAAAACCCACTACTACCATAGCGGGAATCCTTCCATTGTCAGTTGTTACTCATGACCTGGTTGTTAATCCCAAGGCATCACAAACATCATTGGCCCACTGTGGTGGTCTGCCATCAGCACTTTTTTTGAGCAATTGCTGGATAAACAGGTCTTGAAGTAGAGGCCCAGAAGAAGTCTGATGTCTTTTGTAATAAGAGTAGAATAAGAGAATCAATCACAGTGACCATATTATTGAAAGAACTGACAAAATGCAGATGAATATGCCTTGAGGATTCACTTGTGAATGGGTCCATTGAAGGTGCATCTAACTGTTCTTAGCCAAGCAGTTGATACAACAGAATCTAAATCTGTCTGTGTGGGTTCAAAACCCACCAAAGATGAAATTGTCAAGTAATCACAAGAGTTAAAATCTGTTTCTCTTGGATCATGCAGGTTTGAAACCTGCCAGTTGCAACATTTGTTTTCTATAAAAACACACCTTGGAATATGCTCATGGTCGGTTTGCTTTAGGGTGCGGTGAAAAATTCAATAATTTTTAACAGCAGTTAATTAACCGAGTTATTAACCGGGTTATTAACTGTAAATAATTCAACACTGGAGGGACGCCAGTCAAGAACTGTAAATAATGTACCATGTCCTACCATGGCATCCTAGGCATGCCATTATATCAAATTTGTCCTGATTTGCCTTGTGTTGGGTGGATAAAGGCTCATAGAATCTCATACTGACACAAATATGTCATTCCAGCCATTGGGTTGCACCTGAATCATACTTATATGTCAGGAACATTTTTCGGAGTGTTGGACGACGGAGTGATTGGGATAATAGATATGTCAATCAAAATTCTACTGATCTAACTTTTTGCTTGTATTGCAGACCTCCTTACAGATTTGACAGCTATGAGTGGTTCAGTTCTCAACACCTCAGTTCCATCCAAAACAGTTCATGATGGCCTTATTCCGAGTTCTGCAGCAGCTTATTTTCGCCTTTTACTGGCAAAGCTCCCCTTGGAAGGCAATGTGCTTGGCTTTTGTGACATGGCTCCTGTTTCCAAGCTGTTGCAGCTTGCCTCACATGTCTGGCTTAGTGCCAGTGATACCAATAGTGAATAACACCTGTTTTCGACAGTTAATATTAATTATAGCTTGGACAAAAAAATCACGTGCCGACTGTCAATATGTGTTAAAAAATGTCAGTTAATAATTAACTGCCATCTCCTGGGTTAATAACCCAGTTAATAACTAGCTGGATAATTTTTCACTGCACCCTAGTTTGCTTGCAAGCTGATCAAAGTTGTGTTTATACATTCATATTGCTCAAGCAGTATGAACATCCATCTACAAGCAACTTTACTGATTGGCTTTGAACTAGATATTTTACCATCAACCCTGATAATACCAAAGTGAAAACAGAAACATGACTCACTGTCGCAACATCTCTCTTGGGCTACAAGGTTGAATCCTTGCAGATCTTGGACCCTAAGGTGCACAGGTGAGCCATGGATGCACAGTGACCCACTCATACTCATGCTATGATAAAAACAAGATAGCCTTTGCAGCAATTGCTGTCTGTCTGGCAAGTCACTTCAGGTTTATCATTGTTAGGCAGACATGGAGTTGCTGCATTGACAGACATGGATGCTGTCAAAGCGACAACAACAGTGAGGAGGGAGAAACACATTTTCTGTGCAAAGTGATGTGGAATTTTCTGAGGGGGTTCTTGACTGATATCACTAAGGATGAGGGACTACTATAGGACAATAGCCAGCTTTTTGTAAACTTTAGTGTAGATTTGAATGAAGACTTTGAGATAATTAAATTGACTGAATTCCTATTCGAAATAATACTACAGTATATATACTAAGGTATGCTAAATGTAAGTACCCGGTCCGTGTATATGTAAGCACGGACTTGTCTATGGTCTGCAAGTCGATGACAAATCTTGTCCGTCTCGGACATTACCGGTTATTAGTTGTTCCCTACATTACTCATCCTTCTACCTATTACTAAGCTTCTCCTGTTGTGCTCATACCTTCATCATGTATGGCTGTGTCCAACACTTTTATGGCACAATTCTGATCAATTTGGCAGAATTGGCATTGCTATCAAATGACACAAATTTAGACAGAGCCTGCAAGAACCTATTCAAGTGAATACAACCTTTGTATCAAAACCCAAACTCTCACTCATCACTTCTTCATTTGATGTATGGAGTAGGGCTGGTCACCGTAGGCCATACAATGGGATTATATGGGACCGTAGTACGGTTACCGTACCCGTACCATTGGTGGTTCCAGGTCACATTTGACGGTTATGGGGTACGGTCATTTGAGTACCGTATATCACCGTATGTGTACGGCCGTATATAGCCGTCATACGGTACATACGGTTCTGTGAATATTAGTATAGTGTAATGCCCAATGTGTTTGAGTCATGTTACTTGTGGCAGCCACGTGCCTTCTTTTGATATTGACAGCGACAACGACCTACTACTAGTGGCAACACTGACACTATTTGCAGTGCTTATTCCTGAACTTCCAACATCCAGCTTCCTCACTAGTGGCCATGACTTTGACAGCATGCAGATTATCAACCTACCTGTATGTTTCTCTCACACTGATCTATAATATATCAAGTTCTAATGTTTTTTATGTCCAGAATACTCTGTTGATTCTCGTGCCCGATCTGGGGGGAATGACCACTATGCTGATCGAAATATGCACAAGGTTCTGCTCCCTTCCCCTACATGCACTTGCCTGCTCCAACCTTTGGAAAATACAACTTTGATCGATGGCCTCCTCGAGCACCCTGAATGCTGAACCTGCTGCTGTCGACCCAGGTTTTCAGGAGGTTCTTGGTCATGGCAAACGTCCCAAAAATACCGAGCAGATGAATGCACTTATCCAGGCCGAAGGTGAAGATATTGACAATCCCACTTGCCGCCCTCGCCGTTCTCATCGTGCCCCCAAAAAGCAAAATGCTGCTGTCGACCCCAACAATTTTTTCTCATCTCTTCCAGTTGAGGAGGCCTCGGATGCCGATGATGATGATTTCACTGGCTCTGAGTCCAGTTCTCAGTCTCCCTCATCAGGGTCAGAGAGCGATACCACCGAGATCTTGAATGCCGAGGTAAGTCATTTTTGATTGCTCAGTATTGTTACTGACTACGTTCTGCAGCTTGCAGATGTTTTGCCCATGAAGACTGTTCCACCTCATGGTGGCAACTCTGATCCCAATGCATGTCAGCTTCGCAAGAAAGCCAACGCAAAATCCAAGCGGAAGGCTGCAGCAAATGCTTCAGCTGCCAACAGACTTCAACTATTGAAGCGAGCTCATGTCGAGGATGCCAAAGATGACGGCGACATTCTCTTGCCATCATCAAGTCAAGTTCCTCAAGTTGATGTTCGGCTGAAGCGTCCAAAGGTAACCTTTCAATATTATCATCATTTGTAACAATCCTAAGCCTGTAATTTCCAGCCGCATGGACCCACAAACCCGATCTACCTCTTTTATGAAGAGGTGGATAAGAATGCTCAGGGCGTTGAGGGAACAAAGGGTGACAAACACTACAAGTGTTACCATGGTCAGTGCAAAATTCTGACTATTACAAAGGCTATGTGAAGTAGTCTCAATGGTAAGCATCACATTTAACTTCGTGGTGGCTTCTGACTTGATTGATTGATGAATGGCAGGTTTAATCAGTCACATCAAAACACACTTTCCAGTCTTGTATCGACTCTATCTATATCTCAAGGATCGTGTGGAACCACCCACGGAAGACGAGGTTGCGATGGCATTGGGAAAAAAGATTCTTGACCCCACCCAGGCAGCTGAATACCTGCTTCAGCTTGAAAAAGCCTCGAGCAATATTGTCGAGGCTTTTAACCACCAGAATCAGCGAGTCGCTGTAGGTCTATCTATACATTTTATCTACGTAGTCTCATGTTTTCAATTCAGGAAGCCAGCTGGGATTAGAATATGTTTGAGCAGCTTCTCGCTGAATGGATGGTCGCATGTGACCAGCCGTTTGAAGAAGTTGACAGGCTTGAGTTTCGTCGCCTTCTCAAGTATACTCACTTATGACAATCGCTTCACATCCCTCATCGTCAAGCTATGAAGTGGCGTGTAATGAAGATGGGCGAGGACACAGTTGCAGACGTGAAAAAAATGATTGCGGAATTGAACTGCAATGTTAGCTTGTCGCTTGATGGTTGGACGTCTAGCAATCTTTACGGATTTTTGGCTATTGTGATGCACTACATCACAAATAATTGGCAGCTCGGTGAGTGCCTTGAAAGAAATTGTAGGGTTGCACTGACCATCATGCAGAGGAACTCCTCATTGACTTTTGTGAGCTCATTGGTGAGCATTCCGGCGAAAATATGGCACAAGCAGTGTTCGAAACTCTGGAGCTCTTCGGGCTGAAGGGTCGGGTGCTTGCAATAATGGCTGACAATGCATCAAACAACGACACGATGTGTGAGGCACTGCAAGCATTGTGTGCGAGGGAAGGCATCACATTTAATGCTCGATGGGGATGATTACGGTGCTTGCCTCACACAACACATCTAGCAGCTTTATCGGTATGATGTTCTTAGATTTTTGAATGCATATCTCACTTTCGGCTCAAGTTATTGGAAGGCATCGGTGCTATCAAGGCCAACAAGACAAACACCAATCATGATGCTTACCAGGACTGTGTAACAGCTCTGCTTAGTCGAGAGCATGACAATGATGTTGCTGCACAAGAAGATCAGCCAGAAGATGAAGAGGAGTCCGAGCTTCGTGCAGTTCATTCGGCCGTCGAAAAGGTAAGTTCTAGTTTATCACTGCCAGTGGAGTCAACACACTAACACACTTATCTTCCAGTTGCGGAAGATAGTTCGCGCTGTTCGTTCAAGCCCTCAGCGTCACCAAGCTTGGCTCCGAGAGGTCAACACATTGCCACAGACAGCTCTCATGCTGATTCTCGATGTTAAGACCAGGTGGTCTTCAACCCATCAAATGCTCCGTGCGCAGTTTTAGTCTTGTATTAATACTCCAACTTACTCCCCAAAAGGTCGCGTGCTTGATTATTGCAAAGTCATTGACGACTTTGTTGCAAAAACACGGGAACTTCGCCAGTATGAGTTGTCAGCCGAGGATTGGAGGGCGATCAAACACATACTACAGTGACCTATCTCCGTATAATACGAGAGAACGGACATGCATAATATCCCGTATGATACGGGCCAGCGGACCATGGGCCCATGATAAAAATATTCTCGACTATGACGGATGGGCCGGGAGGCAAATTATTCCCGATGGAGGCGGGTGGGCCCATGCAGGGAATATATAGAGTAGATGAGTGGGCCGATGTAAATGAATATTAGGTAGACGGGTGGGCCGAGGTAGCTGGATATTATGCAGATGGGTGTATTAAGGTAGATGTGTATGAGATAGATGGGTAGGTACTTGTTATCACATTCACGGGTGGGCCCAGACACATATTAAATTAGACGGGTGGGCCGAGGGTATTATAAAATATTGTATTATACGGGTGGGCCGAGGGTGTTGTATGGGATGTTGTATTAGACAGGTGGGCTGAGGGTGGTATACAATATAGATGGGTGGGCCCATGTGTATCATAATTGTAGACATGATGGAGCTGAGGTAGTTGTACATCAACCAAATCAGAGGAGGTAATAAATCAAAGTTACTAAGTTCCCGGAGCATCAGGTGATCTCCTGACATGGCAGTGCGAAGCTTGTGTTGCCCAACGAGACGCCAAGTTCCGGCCACCAGAATTTGAGTCAACTGTACTGAGTTCCGAGTTCCGGGACCCGGAACTCACCACATAAGTTGGTTAATACTTTTTGATGGTGCACAGGTTGTCTTGCAGAATGTGGAATCCGGGGTGCGAAGCTTGTGTTGCCCTACGAGAAGCCAAGTTCCGACCACCAAAATGTGAGTCAACCGTACTCAGAGGAGGTAATAAATCAAAGTTACCGAGTTCCCGGAGCAGCAGGTGATCTCCTGACATGGCTGTGCGAAGCTTGTGTTGCCCTACGAGACTCCAAATTCCGACCACCCAAATATGGGTCAACCGTACCGACCTCCGAGTTCTGGGACCCGGGAGTCGACAAATGAATATCTGATGACCAGCGAGTCAACCTTACTCAGAGGAGGTAATAAATCACAGTTACCGAGTTCCCGGAGCAGCAGGTGATCTCCTGATATGGCAGTACAAAGCTTGTGTTGCCCTACGAGACGCCAAATTCCGACCACCCAAATATGGGTCAACCGTACCGACTTCCGAGTACCGGGACCCGGGAGTCGACAAATGAATATCTGATGGCCAGCATACTTCCAATCAGGTAGTATTTCATTGAGCAATGGATAATAATAATACATCTTTGACAGCGGCCAAAATTATCCATGGCTCCCTTATCTGATCCTCTCTATCTCCACCCCCTATAACACCAAAGTCCGGACATCCAGCATTCAGCGTCTGATTTCCCAAGATTAACATCCAGCATGAACGGTTCTTCCCCTTCCCCTCCTGATAGCATAAACATCTGGCGCACTTGGGCCCTGACTGTGACTTATGAAGCAGGGGAATATACTGAACAGAAATTCAAGGCAGAGAAGACTGGAGGAGGCCCAGTCATACCTTCCCCCAACCTAGACACTGATCTGGTGATGGCGTGCGATCGCTTGGCTGATGTACTCATAAAGGCATCTAAAAATCCCAGTGGGTCTTCCTGCAGATTCGGAAAATTCTATTTATCATTCAAATTCCTGCATGACAGTTCAGATGCAGATGGATATTGCAAGATATAGCAAATTGATCTCCCCGAAGGACACCGGGCATAATGAACATAAAGAGGCGAGGTTGCTTGAGAGGTGTCCTCCTGGCCATGAAGGCAAAAGGTTGGTCGATGAACCTGCAATAATTCTTGATGCATCCGGTGCCATCATTGCATGGTATCTCCCAGACGCCCTGACAGACACCACCCAGGTGTGTAATATACATTGTTACTCGATGGATATCGAATATTAATGGAACCTACAGAAGGAAATCAGGGATGCCACCTATTTGCTCTCTCCAAGCCTCGAAAAAAGTGTAAGGGCTGATGGCAATTGGCGAACTAATCAAAGGTTGTTCAACCGGGGCTCGGAAGATGTTGGACCAACTCCCGGATGCATCAATCTATCTCCGGCATGGTTTCAACAGGGACACGAGGTAGGATCTGATGAGATGGTGATTCCGGCAGTCATACTTACCAATCCCAAAGAATGTGTCCGATCCAGAGGTATCTGCATCATTGAAGGGACCTTCCTGCGAGAATATCCTCAAAGCCATTGCAAGGCCAGCAGCCATCGCGTCCGCAGCACTCAGAGTCATGCATCCTGAGCAGTACTGGGCAGGGTTGAGAACCTTGTCAAACCTTGGAAATATAGCAGTAAGCAAGGATCTGCCACAGATGCCGGAGGCCCTGCAGTACTGGGCATCCGTGTTTAACACCCTCTCCATCATTTCCAATCGGGAAACCCCCCATCATCGAGACCACATGTCCATTGCTGAATGCTTCGACATTCTCACCACCGTGGGGGACTATTCTAATGCTCGGATGACAATGCCAAACCTTCAGCTGGAGTTCAAGTACAATTCCGGCTGTATGATTGCGTTTTCTGGAAAGATTGTGAGACATGGAGTGTATGATGTGGAAGGGGATCGGATTGCTTGGGCATGGTATATGAGGGATGCTGTTCATATTTATGCTGGTGTTCCATCATGTGGATGGGCTAGTGTGGATGGTCCATACAGCGTGTGAAAGATCAAACAAAGAGCAAGCATTGTGACCTATATACATTCCAACAAATGAATACCATGTACCAATTGTGATCCGGACCTCAATACTCAATTTTGAGCATTTCCCAAGTGATATGTGGGACTAAATAATTTGGATGCAAGCCTCAGTATTCGATAATTGGAACTCGGGACTTGACATATGGGAGTCCTGAGTGCCGGGGTACTTAGTCCCGACACCCGGACCTCAGCACGTGATATTTGAGACTGGGGGAAGATGTATAAATATGCTCGAATTAACATTTGTTATTGCCATACACATTTAACAAAACCCTGAACCCCGACATTGTGGACTCCGGACTCGACACTGTTCTGAATACCGAGTTCCGGACGCCCAGGTCCCGAGTCCCAAATTTTGGAGGTCGGGGCTCGGAGACCCGGAGCTCGGCAACTGTGTTGGGTGTCAGGGTATCCAGACCATTGGAGATAGCATGTGTCAGTATTTTGCGTTTCATGGTTTATGTTGGGTGAATATGGAATCAGGGATCAGGGCCTCGGTATTCAGAACAGTGTCAAGTCCCAGGTCACGAGCTCCGAGTCCCGAGTGCCGAACCCGGAGTCCCGAGTCCCGAATTTCGGAGGTCGGGGTTCGGCGACCCGGAGCTCGGCAACTGTGTTGGGTGTCAGGGTACTCGGAGCATTGGAGATAGCATTTGTCAGTATTTTAAGTTTCATGGTTTATGTTTCGTGATTATGGAATCAGGTGTCAGGGACTCGGTATTCAGAACAGTGTTGAGTCCCAGGTCATGAGCTCCGAGTCCTGAGTCCCGAAACTCACACCCAGCAGTTGCCGAGCTCCGGGTCGCCGAACCCCGACCTCCGAAATTCGGGACTCGGGACTCGGGGTTCGGCACTCGGCACTCGGAGCTCGTGACCTGGGACTTGACACTGTTCTGAATACTGAGTCCCTGATCCCCAATTCCATATTCACCCAACATAAACCATGAAACGCAAAATACTGACACATGCTATCTCCAATGGTCTGGATACCCTGACACCCAACACAGTTGCCGAGCTCTGGGTCTCCGAGCCCTGACCTCCGAAATTCGGGACTCAGGACCTGGGTGTCCGGTGAAGGTACAACAATTCAGATGGTGAGTCTGAACAATGTTGGGTCTTGCAGAACCTAGCTGCTATTCGACCCTAAAGGGTTTCTGGACTAGGCTTAAGGCTCAGAGGAGAGGAAATATCATAGAAACTTGCTCAGCACTCAGACTCATACTGGTAACTGGTGAAAAGATTGCTTGATTATGTAAGCTACAAAAGTGCCAACATAAGGTAAGGTAAAACAGTCTCTACAAGCCCAACCAGAAATGAATCCCTACATCTCATGGGAACTTTGAATCATGACTGTCCCCAGTCATCTACCTATGCAAACCAAAGCTAAGCTAAACTTAAGAAAACTAACCTGGGGGTCCTCAAACACCTTTTGTCTCCTTGACGCGTATGCCAGGTAAACTGCGCCAGTGAGTGAGGGTCAGGCAATGCAATAAAATGATAATCCCCAGACTTTGCTTTTAGTACTGGAGGAGCAGCGATGCTAAAGTGAAAAAAACGCGATGATGGTTGCATGGATGACGATGGGGAGTAGACGGATAGAAAGAGGCGAACGAGGGCTTCGAAATGAGTATAGGGTTGACTAGGTTTGGTGGAGAACTGAGTGAGAAACGAGGGAAATGGTGGAAAAGGGCGGAAAATGGGAGAAATGCGGATTGCGGAGGAATGCGCGGACGTATCGGGAAGCGGAGCGGACGGATGGAAAGCGCGGAAAAATGCGGTCAGAACGCGCCTAAGGCGATGGGCGCGCGATCACAGGGCGACGAGATATAAGGAAGGCGCAAAAATGGGGCGAAAAATAGGGGGGAACGCGCAAATGCAAATAGCGAGCGAACGGCTGAGCGCGCGAAGGCGCGGATATGCGCGAATGAAAGCCATGAACGAGGGCTTCAAAACGGATATAGGGTCGATGGGGTTCTGATGCGAAATGGGCTGGTGAAAGTGCGAAAAAGTGCAGAGGTGCAAGAGGGAGGAGGAGGAAGGGGTATGGTGCAGGGCAACAAGGGCTGGTCCTATCAAAAAGCGGATTGGGGCAATGGACAGAGCCACTGAGGGATGGTAAATGGCCAAAAGAGCTAGATGAGACAGGCCTTTGAGCACCCAGAAAACCCTTATCTCCCCTCAACTTCTCAAAAACACCAAAAACTCAATATCTCCACAACTACTGCTCCAAATTGGATGAACCAGGGCTCAAAATGACCGGACGGACGTGGGGAATACGACTCTAAGTTTGCGAGAGATCCGCTTGAAAAACGCGTGGGAAAAACACCTATCAGTGCGCTGGGGAGGAGAACAAAATGCTGAAAACTGGGGATTATGGGAGAAGCTGGTAAGGAATGACTGTGGTTGGATAATAGGCGAATTTGGGGGATGATTGGAGAGCTGGAAGAGCCTAGAAACACAAGAAACCCTCGCGGTGGGCTCCAGTTGAAGGTACAACAATTCAGATGGTGAGTCTGAACAATGTTGGGTCTTGCAGAACCTAGCTGCTATTCGACCCTAAAGGGTTTCTGGACTAGGCTTAAGGCTCAGAGGAGAGGAAATATCATAGAAACTTGCTCAGCACTCAGACTCATACTGGTAACTGGTGAAAAGATTGCTTGATTATGTAAGCTACAAAAGTGCCAACATAAGGTAAGGTAAAACAGTCTCTACAAGCCCAACCAGAAATGAATCCCTACACCGGGACTCGAATGTGAGATTTTTGAATGCATAGAATATGTTACATCTTGTATACAATGAAGAGTGAATGGGACTACACTCCTTTGCCTTTCCTCAATTTCTCTAACATGTCAGTGTACATCTTCACCTCTCCCATCTTAGCTTCGATGCCCTGATCTTGCTCCTCCAGCAATGCTTCCATGCGTTCTTTGATGAATCTCAGTCCCATGAGTGGTGGAGTCGAAGTGTTTTTCAACTTCTCTGGAAGTACCAAAGCATCATCCTCAACATTAAGCTGAAACAGATAAGTCATCAATCAAGGTAATTCAGCTGACATCTTACCGCCCAATACTGGTAGTGAGAGATGCAGGAAGCCATTATTTCATCCCACTGCCATGGTTGATCAGGGATTGTGGTGTTTCCCATCCACCATGGACATGTATATGCGAACACAATCCGGGACGGATGTCCTGCAATTGGCTCATCATGAAATGAAAGGAGGTGGAATGAAAAGATGTCGTCCGGAACAGTGTTCCAGGTCAGCATGGGATACAACTTAAGGATATAAGTGACAGGGACCAGAAGAACCGACACGATATTCTGTGAAGCGGAGTACTGCAGGAGTGGTGTGACAAATGTCTGCTCAAATTCTTAGCATTGACCAACAAAGTCATCAGGGCAGTGGTGACATACATTCATCTCCCATTGCAGCCCGGTGTAGGGATTCATTTCTGGCTGGGCTTGTAGAGACTGTTTTTACCTTACCTTATGTTGGCACTTTTGTAGCTTACATAATCAATGAATCTTTTCACCAGTTACCAGTATGGGTCTGAGGGCTGACCAAGTTTCTATGATATTTCCTCTCCTCTGAGCCTTAAGCCTAGTCCAGAAACCCTTTAGGGTCGAATAGCAGCTAGGTTCTGCAAGACCCAACATTGTTCAGACTCACCATCTGAATTGTTGTACCTTCAACTGGAGCCCACCGCGAGGGTTTCTTGTGTTTCTAGGCTCTCTAAGCTCACCAATCATCCCCCAAATTCGCCTATTATCCCACCACAGTCATTCATTACCAGCTTCTCCCACAATTCCCACTTTTCAGCATCTTGTCCTCCTCCCCAGCGCATTGATAAGCGTTTTTCTCACGCGTTTTTCGAGCGTATCTCTCGCAAACTCAGGGTCGTATTCCCCTCGTCCATCCGGTCATTTTGAGCCCTGGTTCATCGAAATTGGAGCAATAGTTGTGGAGATATCGAGTTTTTGGTATTTTTGAGAAGTTGAGGGGAGATAAGGGTTTTCTGGGTGCTCAAAGGCCTGTCTCATCTAGCTCTTTTGGCCATTTACCATCCCTCAGTGGCTCTATCCATTGCCCCAATCCGCTTTTTGATAGGACCAGCCCTTGTTGCCCTGCACCATACCCCTTCCTCCTCCTCCCTCTTGCACCTCCGCACTTTTCGCACTTTCACCAGCCCATTTCGCCTCAGAACCCCATCGACCCTATATCCGTTTTGAAGCCCTCGTTCATGGCTTTCATTCGCGCATATCCGCGCCTTCGCGCGCTCAGCCGTTCGCTCGCTATTCGCATTTGCGCGTTCCCCCCTATTTTTTCGCTCCATTTTTGCGCTTTCTTTATATCTCGTCGCCCCGTGAGCGCGCGCCCATCGCCTTAGGCGCGTTCTGACCGCATTTTTCCGCGCTTTCCATCCATCCGATCAGATTTCCGATACGCCCACCCGCGCCCTCGCTACTCGCTGTTTTCGCTATTTTCGCGCGTTTTCACCATTTCCTTCATATCTCCCTCAGTTCTTCACCAAACCTAGTCAACCCTATACTCATTTCGAAGCCCTCGTTCGCCTCTTTCTATCCGTCTACTTCCCATTGTCATCCATGCAACCATCATCGCGCATTTTTCATTTTAGCATCGCTGCTCCTCCAGTACTAAAAGCAAAGTCTGGGGATTATCGTTTTATTGCATTGCCTGACCCTCACTCACTGGCGCAGTTTACCTGGCATACGCGTCAAGGAAACAAAAGGTGTTTGAGGACCCCCAGGTTAGTTCTCTTAAGTTTAGCTTAGCTTTGGTTTGCATAGGTAGATGACTGGGGACAGTCATGATTTAAAGTTCCCATGAGATGTAGGGATTCATTTCTGGCTGGGCTTGTAGAGACTGTTTTTACCTTACCTTATGTTGGCACTTTTGTAGCTTACATAATCAATGAATCTTTTCACCAGTTACCAGTATGGATCTGAGGGCTGACCAAGTTTCTATGATATTTCCTCTCCTCTGAGCCTTAAGCCTAGTCCAGAAACCCTTTAGGGTCGAATAGCAGCTAGGTTCTGCAAGACCCAACATTGTTCAGACTCACCATCTGAATTGTTGTACCTTCACCGGCTTTAAAATACTTGATCCGGTCAGCAGATAGACCATTGTTGGCAGCTTCCGTCCGATATTGAGAGATGATTGCACGGACGCGCGATCCAGCCATTGCCAATGTGCAGGAAATAGTTGCAAGGCTCAGCTTCAGAGGTCGGTAATGGCTTCCGGGATTCAGAGTGCCAGAAGTGGATGCATGAGATGCAGACATGGCTAATACAGGACTATGGTGCTGGCAATACAAGTGAAAGATGGTCAAGATGTGAAGATAAGAATCACTGATGGATGGATACAAAATTCAAACTCCGACATGGGCTGACCCGGACAATTCCTGGGCGTCAATTATGTATGTGGAAAAAGGGACTTCATGAGAAAACAATGTTCATTCATCTCCAGCCTCTATCAACATGTTTTGTAGGTCTTGAAAAGCTGCCTGCGCATCCTGTGCCAGCAATGAATACATGTGGGATTGCCTTCCGGCGTAGCATCCGTGACCCGGAAGTCGTTTCTCCAATGATTCCTGCATGTGCTCGCCCCATATGGTTGTTTTCCACAAAAAGAACTTACATGTCCAATCCATCTCCAATGTGACCAATAGCATTTCTTCCCTCCATCGATCCCGTAGTGCCTTTGCCCTCAGCCAATGGACTCGGTAAACTTGGCATGGGTCCAGTCAGGTAACCGCGGGATATGACATGCAAGCAGGAACTCACATTCTTCATTCCACGATTGATCAGGACCCCCGAGGTCGACTTCAACAGACCAAAACCAAGCCAAAGATTCATTTCGTTGACCTCGGGCATTTGGGTCGCCCACTGCAGTGCTGATTTTGAGTTGCTCGCGAAGCAGGGGTTTGTATTTCTGAAGCTGGTCTTGCCCCAGCTCAAGTTTCATCATTTGCTTCCTTGTCTTTGTATATATGCTGGCATGGAGGGAGACTGCCTGCTGCACCAACGTCACCTGGGACCAAGCTCGAGTTTTCAGGGCCTGGGAATTGGCCTGCCTAACGGTTGTTTGGAACAGGATGGCCTTGTTGCAAAGGTAAATGCGGAGATTGTGAAGGGCATCATTGGCCTGCCCTTCACAAAGCGACATCTCCAGGGGAATCAGATCCTCTGCCATGCATCGTCTGCATCTATCAACCCCCAGGTTTGATGGCAATGGGATTACAGTTAGCTCGGGAGAGTTTGTCCATGTGTGAGATGTCTCTGTGAAATCCGCCGGGTCATCATTGAGATCATCTAGAATGTCTACGTCCAAGTCTTTAGGTTCATCATCTGCATCAAATCCCTCCCCGAGATGTGTTAGAGCAGACCGAGCAAATCCATCTATCTGGCCTTGGAGCCGATCTCTTTGACGGGCGATGTCTAATCTCTGTGTCTCGGTGGATCTTCTTCCGATCCTTCGGACCTCAATGAGCAATGCAATCTGAGCCTCTTCAATTGCTAACCCTGTTGATATCCATGTCGCCACAGATCTGCGAGAGGGTGCTGCATTGCGGGCGTTACCCTCCTCTAACAATCTAAGCTCGATCTCCTTTTTGCTAGGTGCTGAGTGCAATATTAATTCAGTCCTCGTCGGAGACAATGGAACTCAACGTACCCTTTTTGATATTGATCTCATATTCATCCATGGCTGAAGGATCATTCAATCTGCTTGACTGAGCTATCCTCTCCCTGGCTAACCATTCTGTCTTCAAATGTAAGGGTGCTGCTTCATCGAGTCTGTCGAATGCCTTTCCACTTTCTAAGATACCATTCCTAGCCAGTTTGTATTTCCGGCATAGAGTCCTTTTCATGCGAATCATCTTGCAGAAATTGGAGTCATTCATCTGATAATCAAGGCATTCCTTTCGGTGGGGAGATGACATTCCCCGAGCAGCAGGGGAGATCAAATTGAGCCGTGCCCATAGCATCTCCATGATCTCTCCATCGATCCAACCAATGCCTTCAATAAAGTTAGAAGCATATTGGACATAGCAGCTGTCCTGATGGCCATGAACGTGCCACAACCCAATTCCGGGAATGATGGTTAGTTGTGGTGCCATTTCTAGAAATTGACTTCGATCCACCCGAACCCGAAAGTGTTTGTTGTATTGACAATTAATATCATAGAAGGTGACAGCCCTGGTGATGCCTTCCATGTTGTGCCGGGAAGCCTCGCAAAGGGCATAGTCCATGTTCATTTGTCTGCAAGTGACCCATGGTTAACTCGTGAATGGGGAATGGTGGATGTGGCTTGCCTTTCGCCTTTCTGAAAATCCACCATGGAGTGAGGGACAAAGCAACTATGTCTGGCACAGGCAACTCCTCTGATACTGGTGGACTCCAGCTTGTGCCTAGCAGCATTAGCTTGATTTACTGCCCGGTGATTGTTGCGGCTTGATTTTTCCACTGTGTCAGCAGCCTCTGCCAGGTGCATTTTATACCTGTCCTTTCCTACCATGAATCCAAGCCCATCGGACAGCCAAACTTCATCGAATGGCTTAATGGGATGCAGATGTTCGGCTTTGAAATTTCCGTCCATCACAAATGACCGGGTGTATTTCCAGCTTGGATCCCTAGTATTATTATGGAGGCCACATAGGTTGAGAATAGGACTCACTCATCAAGAGATTCATCCTCTGACAATAGCACATTAATCCCAGGCTGAGGACATGCCGGGCAAAATAATGCAAGTTCTCCTGTGCTCGGGTTATCAGAACGATGGCCAAAGCCATGCCATTTCATTGTCTTCAACTGCCTCCACTGTTGAGCGACCCTCATGAGCTCTCTGTATCGGTCCTTGCAATGTGCTTTGTCAATATGATGTCCAGTAGATCATGAGGGTAAGGCATTACCGGAACAAGGTGTGGAAACATGCTGGAGGTCATTCGCCGGAGCTTGCTGTAATAGTTCATCGCCGAGGTGCCGCATTCAAGGCTGTCCAGTAGAAAATCATTGAGCACTCTGAAGGTGAACACAGTCTTTGGCCTGTTAAAAGATGCAGGGAAAAATCCGTGTCGAAACATTTGAATGTCCGGACTCATGGCATTCGGACATTCACAGCATCGAACCTCCAGGCGATGAACTCCAGACTTGTCCATGATGACCATGGTGTTTTCCTTTGGCTGGAACTCGGGTCCGGACACAAATGGCAGATCTTCAGGCTCGAGCAGGTCTTCGGGTTCATCTTCTTCAAACAAATTCCACCGATCGGTGACCGCCGGACATTGTTTGCCATCATGGCCAAGGTATATAATGAGTCCCACATGAGCTAGACAACTCCGCTCAAAGAATCGCCCATTCCATTGACTGATCCAGTGGAAAGGATTGCTACGATGTTGACTCCTGCAACAGCCCGTGCAATAGAGTGGCTCGCCAAGACAATCTTGACATTTGTACACCCCATCCTGTTGGCAGATGATGCATCTCCTGTCTTCGGGTGGAGCTTCTCGATCAAGGAGGTGATGTAGATATGATTCCTGCCTTGGCAGCCATTGCCTGAGGTAGTCATTTTGACTCTGTATTTTTGAATGCTTAGCCATAGTTTGAATGACACTCCAACATTGTACATGAACTTGCCATGGTTTTTGGGAGTTGCAATGGCTCAAATGAGCCTTGGTCCTGCTCGTAAGTATTGTCAGGAAAGTCTTCCCAAGGAGGCGGTGCCTCAACAGGCTGAATTGTTGGTGATTCCGGGGGAGAGTTAGGCATGGACCTGTAGGCATGTCGCCTCGTGCTTGCAAGTGGGACCTTGACCCAAGTCTTCCTACCTTTGCTGCCCCTTGCTTCCACCCTGTGAGATTTTTGCACTGGGGTGCATCTACCTATCTTCATCTTGTTTATTAATGTTGCAAGCAAGGCATCAGCTCAGGTGTAATGAATTGTTATTGCAATATGATGCGGTGCAGTCCTGTTGGCTTATTACAAATTCATTTCCATTAATGGCTCAGGGTCCAATATGGGCCGATTAACCTATCATTAGGCTTTGCTCAAAGTTCAACTTCGCACAATTCATTAATACTTTCACCTTGAAAATCCTTAGCCATTTCTGCATTCTGATTCACTATGGCAAGAACAGGTCATTCCACCAACACGACTTCCGGAAGACACAGGATGTGTCAACCACAGTCTCAGAAGCTCACGGACAAGGAGATTTTGGAGTTGAAGAACTACCTTCCTGAGTGGACTGCTGCCAAAAGGAGTGAGAAGCGAGCGATTTTCACTGCCATAGCAAGGGCGGCCAGGTTGTTTGCTCTGAAGTTGGACCAAAAACAATGGAAAAAGAGGAAGCAGGTGAGGCTTCTTTGTTGCGTTGAAAAACTAAATTTTTAACGTCACATTCTTTCATCAACTCTTAGGTGTATAAGACTTGGTTGTTCAACAACAAGAAAAAGAAGGAAAGGAAGGACATGATCAAGTATGGGAGGAAATGGACTCCCAGGATGGTGGTCTACCAGCAAAAACGTGAAGAGGTGCTGAAGAGGATTGAGGACGAGTCCGGGGTAAAGCCAGGAGATCCTGGTATGTTCAAACATTATCAGGCGGCGGTGAAGAGAGTCATGGCTGAATTGGACGACAACGAGTTGGAGAAGGCTAAAGAAACAGCCGAAGAGTGGTCCAACAACTGTCCGCCTCCAGAGATACAAGCACAAGTGGCTCGTAAGAAGGGTCCGGCATATATGGAGCACTTTTTGAACGAGATGTGGAGGCAATGTGGGATGAGAGTGTTTGTGATGTCGGCTTGGAAGAATGAAAAGGGCGAGGTGCTGTTCGGGATGTGAGTACATTTATCCATCGACGGAGATTTTTCGTCTCAAAATATTCATGCAGGCATGATGATAATGAGGCCTTAGGAGATGGGGACAGCTTCATGAAGACGAAGGACTGGGAGGACATTGAGCCAGTGTGGCAGGAGTATGCGCAGGAACAGTTCGGTGAGTGTGTGAACCATGTATACCAGATTGAACATATTGAGCATCACAATGATAGGCGCCGGGGCACGGGATGGAGGACGTCAGGTCAAGGGAGGTCGAAAACGAATTCGAAAACCAGCCTTCAAACTCGAAATGGATGGGGAGGGTATGCCACTCCTTCTGGACATCACCGACACCAAACTTGAGGAGAAGAAGGCCATAGTAAGGGCCTTTCTTACATCACACTATCGTGAGTTTGTCGTCGCATCACCTGACAAATTGTTCAATGCATGGACAAAGGGATATGCTCCGGGAAGGACAAGGCGGTTGTGCCATGGAGTGCCATTGTACAAAGTCAGGATGACTTCGTGGCCCGGACGTATCTTCCGGCGGATGTTGACTTGAAGGAACCTTTGAAGCTGCAAATTTGGGACACCACTACCTTGCTCCAGTTTTGGCTCGCTCGGCAAGAAACAGGCGAAGGGCCCACATTTCTGTTCAAAGCATGGAAGAACAAAGATGGGGACATGGTACCATCTGTCATATCTGGCAACTCGCCCTCTCCTCAGACTCGTATAGTGAGAAGGCAACAGAGGGTTACCATCTGAAGGCCTCGGGAGTCATCGACAGAAGCTGAGAGTGATAAGGAGAGTGCCACTCATCATACGGAGCATAATGTGGATGATGACCTGGCTGACGGGAGACCTCCGCTGAAGAAGCCCAGGACGGGAGGTCCAACACCCAGAGGGCCGGCAGTCCCATGTTCAATTCCAAAGCCTCGCCCGGCCAAGCCAGCCAAAAAAGGTGCATTACTGACATCACGATTGGGAGACCTCCTCGCTGGGTTAACTGACAATGCGACGGGCGAGGTTAGAGATGATGTTGAAATGGAAGAGAGTATCACACCGCCGGCACAGAAAAGGAGGAGGGGCACTTGAGTCACTGTTGAACCATCCACGAGGACGACCCGGAGTAAGTTGCAAATGCCAGTAGACAGTACACCTAGAGTAACCAGAGCACGGGGACACACTTAATGTACATATATCTTCCTGCCCTCATGTGTAATGTCATAAGTGCTATTATGTATATGTCAAAGTACTAACAAAAAATTGTAATTGCCAAATGCCAAATCTCGAGTACCAAGGCCCGAGTACCGAACCCTGAATACCGAAGCCCGAACGCCGGTCACCGAGTACCAAGGCCCGAGTACCGAACACCGAGTACCGAGCCCTGAGTACCAAGCACCGACTACCAAGCCCCGACTGCCGAGCCCCAACTACCGAGCCCCAAGTACCGAGCCCCAAGTACCGAGCACAGAAAACCTGGCAGCGAGTACTGGGTAGGTAGAATATACAAGTACCAAGGACTACCTACTGAGTAGTACTGCAATGTGTCTACTATCAGACATTGATCAATATTTACATGTTACTTGAGTCCTCAAAGACCTCAATGAGGGTATCTAATACCTTCAGCATTTCGGAGGTTGACTCCCTTACCCTTTGCATCCTCCGGAGGTCCGCATCTGCTTTCCGCAGCTTGTCGCATGTTTCAGCCCATGCCATCCTGAATGGTCTGT